TCTAAAGCCGTGGACACGGTGTAAGATATGAACACTTGTATCTTACACCATGGCCGTGAGTCTGTACGTGCTTGTTCTCTAGGTACGTAATCACCTAGTTCTATGACTTACTCAGCAGGTGAGGACGGACGAACGGACAGACGAACGGATGGTTATGCAGACTGACGGATAGACGAAGAGACAGACAGACAGAAAAACGGACGGATACAGACAGACAGAAAAAAGGATGGATGAACAGACAGAGACACAGACATCTGGTGGACGGACAGACAGTCAAACAGACTGACGGACAGACATGCGGACGAACGGACAACAGACAGATAGATGGAAGGACAGACAGATAGACGGATACACGGACAGACAGACAGGCGAGCAGACACGGACGAACGGGTGGACGGACAGACAAGACAGAGAGACAGACGGACGGACAGATACAGACGGACAGACTGACAAACGCACGGACAGACAGAAAGACATACGGACGGACAGACCCAGATGAGTGGACAGACGGACGGACGGGGAGACACACAGACTGATGGACGGACAGACAGACAGAATGACATATGGACGGACACTCAGATGGACAGACAGACGCACGAAGATTCAGAGAGACGGACGGATAGACACAGACAGACAGATGGACGGACACAGACTGACGGACGGAGCGACAGACATACGGATGGGTGGACGGACAAACAGACGGACTGATAATAGACGGACCTACAGACAGACGGAAGATTCACGGTTTACCGATAAAACCCTCCGAAGCTTTGCCCCACTCATCATCATTCACTCCGTGGATATGATGTGATTTTTTGCATTGCATATTACGTTATCAGGACGCCTGTGGGTGGCATGTTCTAACAGGTGTTTCACCTCCTAAATATTTCTTCCTCCACGCACCAGGACATACAAGCGTGAGTTATGGACAAATGGACGAACCAAGGACAGAACGACGGACGAACAACAGATGGATGGACGAACCACAGACGGATGGACAAACCACAAATGGAAGGACGGACGAACAATGCATGGAAGGAAAAATCGCGGACGAGAATACGGACAAACCGCAGACGGAAGGACGGGCGAACTACGGATGTACGGACGGGCAGCCGACAGATACACGGACGACCAGAGGTGGACTGAATTGAACGAACCACGGCCGGATGGACGACCACGAATGTATGGACGGAGCAGCGAGCGAGTGATCTCACACGAGTCAACAGCCAGCCAACTCATGGCTCTGGGAGCTTCAGGCTTTCGGCACGCCAGCTGTGCGCCGTGTGATATTCCTCACGCTTGCGCAGAATTGCTCACGTGAAACTGCTCAACCTCTGCCAGTGTAGCTTACCAGTGTAACAAGATGCCGGTCTAGCTTTCACAACATTTACATCTACATGCACGATTTTCTTTGGAGAGCTCGGACTCCTTGTTTTATTTATGTTAGTTCTTTGCAGTTGCTCATTTTCGCGGATTTTTTCGCGCAGGCAACATGGGAAGTAAAAAGAATCCACTTTTCGAAATTCGCGGTTTTTTAGGAGACTTGCCGGTTTTTAGTGACGATAATGATGATATTGTCTCGAGAGACGGAAACACGTATATATATGAGAGCGAACAGGAACGTTAAGTACGAAAATCGTGCTCTTCTGCTGTTAAGTACGTTTTTTTTCTTCTTTTTGTTATCAGTGTTTATTACTTGAAAAGTAAAAAAAAATTTAACTTCTGGCCAATCTCCCGAGTGTGCATGAGCCATGGTAGAGGCCTCATCATCATTCTCATCAGCTGCTGCCACGTATTTGTGACAGCCATGTCTTCGATGCAATGTAATCCGCCGTCATCCAGCGATAGTACCGACGGAATTGACGCTGAAGGCTTTCGTACGATCAAGGGAAATCGCCGCCGCGTGAAAAAAGTAAAGCGACCCAGGTATGACTCCAGCGGAAGTTCGGACATGGCTTCAGAAGACCGCAGTAGGGTTGACGGCCATCGGTGCCCCATAAGGAAGGCACGGCGGCGCGCACTTGGCCTTGACAGGACACGAAGACGCAGAGTCCGTGTGGCAGCTGAGGCGGAGGAGACCGACTCACTTGAGTCAGTTTCCTCGCGGTCCGATGGTACCACGAGCAGCGCTTCCGGATTTGGGGATCTGGACTACAAAAAACTCGCCGACATCGGGGTACACGTACGGGTGATACCCCCAGGAAGCTCTTGGCAAGACAGTTCGCCCAGCTCTTCGGAGGAGATTTCGGTCGAGGACCCGTCGTCCATCGTCGGTGGTTGCAGCCGCGATGCCACTGTGTCCTCCGGGGCTCACACGTCCCAAGAAGTTGCGGAGGAAGCGTCCAGGAGAGCCCCTCAAGAGGCCTATGCTTCCTCAGAAGATGTGATCTACTGAACAGTTTTCTCCCTACTTTTTCTGTTCGGTTTCTGTATTTTCTGCATCACTTCTTCATTAAAATTTCTAACACATCCTCGTTTCCATCTTTTGTGTGTATGTGGTGCTTTTTTTTAATGCTATCCGCCGTGATAGCTTAGCGGTCAAGCTCAGGGACGCGGGTTCGTTTCTCAATTGCGGAGCGCGAGATCCCACGTGTTGTGGGAGCCGATGTCACGCAAAGCAGCAGGCGAGTACTGGTCTAACCGCATTTTTTCATTGCTTTGAGTCGATCGTTGTGAGTTGGACTGAAGCCTTTGTGCACTTTGGGTAGTAATAGGTACATCCTAAAGACTTACCAGGCACGTCGACTACACTAATGCTCAGAGGGCTTTGGTCCGACGTAACTTCAGTACTCTATAGTTCGAGCACAGATATCAGTTTTGTGCAAACTAGCCCCAATGTATATGGTTCGATGATGTGCATATTAAAAATAGCAGTTTTCGCTGTATTTTTCTGTGTTGAAATATACGTTGACCATACCTTTACGAAACGTAGGAGTTAATATGGAATATTTATGAAACTTATGAACGTGGATAGGCTATACTGCGACGACAGGCGCGCGCACGGGTGTTTGGACACCCCTTTCAAGTACCAACCGCTGGCACGCGTATATATATATATATATATATATATATATATATATATATATATATATATATATATATATATATATATATATATATATATATATATATAGATGAAATAGATGATCAGAGTTTCTTCCGGCTACCGTAATAAAAGTTATAAACTTCGAGAATAGTGCAGTATAGGAAACAAAACAATAAAATATTTATTTAATCCTAACAGTTTCGGCTGGTGGACCAGCCTTCTTCGGAGGATGTAAGTGTGTGCTCGCGCATACGCGACGAGGCGCGAGGAATCAAGCGAGGCTTGATTGGGCCACGACTTACTGTACTGTGCTATACTGTACTGTACTGTAGGTCGTGACAATGCTTCTTGGAAGAACTGTAGAACTGTGCCTGGAACGTGAGCCGCGAACGTGCTGCCCTACCTACCCTCGGATTTTCTAGGAGGCGTCGGCATGCTGGTCCACCAGCCGAAACTGTTAGGATTAAATAAATATTTTATTGTTTTGTTTCCTATACTGCACTATTCTCGAAGTTTATAACTATATATATATATATATATATATATATATATATATGTGTGTGTGTGTGTGTGTGTGTGTGTGTGTGTGTGTGTGTGTGTGTGTGCGTGTGTGTGTGTGTGTGCTCGCGCATACGCGACGAGGCGCGAGGAATCAAGCGAGGCTTGATTGGGCCACGACTTACTGTACTGTGCTATACTGTACTGTACTGTAGGTCGTGACAATGCTTCTTGGAAGAACTGTAGAACTGTGCCTGGAACGTGAGCCGCGAACGTGCTGCCCTACCTACCCTCGGATTTTCTAGGAGGCGTCGGCATAGTTTCTCACAAATACCGAGGGCTGTGCGCAAGCACGGTAACTTCTCCAAATTTTCCTGAATGACCGTTTTATCATCCACAACGTCAACGACACGGACAACGACGGCGAGTGCTACCAGCGGGACACGGTTTCGTGCCGAGTTCGATTGACACCGATAAATCCAGCGAACACCTGCCGGATGCCCGGTCCTCAGTGCGATCGCCGGCCGAGTGAAAACGTCGTTCGGGCTACGGCAGCATGTCGGTGCTCTTCTGCTTTGATCTGTGATTATCTGTGCTCGGAACCATAGAGATTCTTAATATACACTACAGGGAACTCTGGCGCTAGTGTCTAAGGGAGCTTCAACGCATGGCTAGAGTGTACTAGAAGTGTTGAGCGGCGTAACCGCACCTGGCCGCCTGATCCCTTCCGCGTTGCCCACAGGGGCAGCGCTGCAGTCGAATAGTACTGAAAGAGCCGCGCGCCGCGTGCAGGAACTGCTCGTCGCTTCGGCTCCTCCGGCGTGCTTTCATGATGCAGATTTCTTCGTACCTGCCCATAATTCATGTCTAACACATGATGTCATAGCCCTTGAAGTATGACACAGCAATATAGTGAATTTGAGCTCCATAAAAGCCCTTGTGAGGTATCGAAAATCATTCAAAAAGGGTGTGTCTTATACTGATTTCTCCTCTCTTAAATATTTCTTTGTTGGTTAGGCGTATACAATATTCAGAATAACTGAGCTGATTTATTGTACGGTAGCTGTGCTCAGAAAGCTGTGAGATTAAAAACGAATACTGTGTCACACGCACGCAGAACCAGAAAGCCATAAGTAGAGGAGAGAAACAGAATCTGAACCCCCTACACCACAAAATGTTTTCGTAATTTAACTTTTCAGGGTATACTAAAATATTTACATGCATTCACAGCATTACATGCATTCACATGCATTCAAGGCTGGTGCACACCGGCGACTAGCCGCGGTCGCGCGACCATTTGCGACTGGCGACCAAATTGCGAGCGACGTTCACACCGGCAAGGCTTCATGCGAGCGACCGGAAGTCGCAAACCCGGGGAGTCACGTACAGGTCTCGTTATCAACGAGAACTTGGGCGACCGGCGATGATCAGCTGATCAGATACGGAGCCCGCTGAGCGCGACGCGTTTGTTTTTGACGGCTGTGTTTGCGTAGCCTTCTCCCGGCAGCATCATAGACTTCGAGCCGAGTGATGAAGAAGAGGTTGTGGCGGTGCTGATGTGCTCAGTCAATGTGTCGGCGCTGGCAGCACGAAAACCTTCAAAGCAAGCAAGGCGGTGGTGGGTGAGACCGTCCCTTCGCTCGCGAGAAGTGGCTGACACAGGACGTCTGCTTCTCGACTTGCGCTCGCACGACGAGGAGTATTTCCGAGACTAAGTTTATGGTTGTTTTACGTGCTTATAAGATAGTGCGTAACATGTTATCTCATTCATTTTTTGGTGGTTAGCTTCATGCGGATGCCGCCACGAACGTTCGATACTTTGCTCGAACTGCTGCGCCCCGCAATATCCAAGCAGGACACAAACTACCGGCCTGCAATTTCGGCGCACGACTGCCTGGCCATGACCATTAGGTAAGAGCGTGTGGTTTGAAGATTAATATGCTGTGGATTGCGGCGGCGTTTCGCTTGTAAGGAAGTTTTGCTTGGGTGGATAGAACGAATTGCATTTATGACGTATGCGGGCTCGATGGTGCAGTCGTTACTGCGGTCGGCAGTTTACGCGTAGGTGACGGGTTTGATTACGGCCGCACCGATCGCCTTTAGGTGGAGGCGAAATGCACTTAAGTTGGCGCGTTTGTGGCGCACGTACGTTAAGAATCTCAGGTGGTGAATATTTGAAAACCATCTGTTGTGGCTTATTGCGTAATCAGTACGTGGTTTCCGCTTGTAAAATCCCAGAAAGTGGGATTCTGTGCTACACAGTGACATCACATTGTGGACGTGTCAGTTCCCGTTTTCTGTTATCCTGATGCACAGGTACTATATAGAGCGCAATTATTAATGATGTTATAAAATAAGTAAAACACAATCCTAAGCTTTGCGAGTACAAGTATGCACAAATTGTTAGGACAAATTGGTGTGCTGTTCGAGGCACTCAAAGAGTATTCATGCCAAAAATATTTTTCAGCTTCGGGGAGGGAGGAGGTTCAACCAACCACCCTTTATGTATCTGCATGCACGACGGTGTGTGTTTGCACAAGTACACATGCGAAATTTCTTACAAACATGGGCAGCGTTTAACCCCTGCATCTTGCTAAAATTATACGTATGTTCTGTTAAATTGACAGTGACCCAATGCACTGTGGACAGTAGTGCAGTGGCAAAACGCATTGTGGACGTTAGCACATTGTGTGAAAGCAATATAAACAATAGACTTGAGTGATGTATGTTTTGTGAAATAGGTTCTCCTTGAATTTACAGCTTTTCAGAAATCCATGCTAAGCGAATTGCTACAGGTACGTTTAGGTTGCCCTTCTTCAACCTGAGTGATATGAGCACGTACGCTCTTCCATGAAAAGGTTGATGCATGCTTATGATTCGCCAAAATGTGTACGCACAGAAATATTCACTGCATATACGACAGCTTGCAGAGTGCACAAGCAGTGCAGTGAGGTTCTAAATGTTAAATGTCCAGTCACCTGTAAAGTAATTAGTGAAGGTGCTCAATTAACAAAGAAAGCTCTATCTGAAAGGATTGCCGTCATAAGGACCGAGCAGTGTACCTCATGCATGCTAATTTCAGTGTATTTATTTATTTCATTGCTGCATCTCATTGCCTTGCCAGGTTTTTGGCGACAGGCGAAACCCAGAGGGACGTGGCCGTCAACTTCCTAGCGGGAAGATCAACCGTTTCCTCCATACTGTCGGAGGCCAGTGAGGCCCTTTGGCTTGTACTCTAGCCACCGTACCTCCGGCACCCTTCAATAACAGATGAGTGGATGAAGGTATGGCAGGCTAGTATTTCCAGCATTTTTGCAGCAACGATATTGACACATTGCTGGCTTGTGCTGCTTTGTGTGGTGTAATTGAAATGTAGCTAGCATGTTACCAAAATAGCACACACTTTAGGACACTGCCTTTTAGGCATTGCACAATATATTGGAACAACCAAGGACATAAAATCGCTATTTGATAGATTTGTGTATGCATTTGTGAGACAAGCTATCGTGTGTTCAGAGTGAAGGTGGTTGACACACAACTCAATAGCAGCAACTTTACTGGCAAAGTCGATGCAACGCAACGTAAAGGTAACTCAGTCATTAAAGGAGTGTGTAACATTGGAAGGTTTTCCACCAAAATACTCATGGCTGATGTGTGTGAGTTTGGTTTTAACTGAGAAATGACATGAAAAAGTGAATGTGCTTGAATGTAAGAAGTGCAATGCAAGCCCGATCAGCCTATGTTAACCCTAATATATTGTGGCAAAACACTGGAAACACACCTTTACAGGAAGGGAGAAATGTATGTTGAACTAAACTGGGCATGATGTGCTTTTGTTTAGCTCATCGTAATCCTGACCCTCTCAACACAGGGGAGCACATGAGGATAATCATATGCAAAATGCATTGCACCAAGGGCTTTATGTTCATTAGTACTCAATAACTTGCATATAATTGAAGTAAACATTCCGTTTCAATAGGAAATGCAGGTTGCCTATCAGAGTTTATTGTAAAACCTGTAGGCAACCTGTTTGGCATAGCATCAGTGTCATAACCTTTGTCATATTGACTTAAGAGTCCCTTCAGGAGAGGCAAATATTTAGCTACAAATGCTTTTTGGCTACAAAAAGTTTTGAGTATTTGAAGCAGCCAGATGTAAATTTTGTAGCAGTGGCAACGTGTGTGAAGGCAATCATTTGTTGGATTTTTTTCGCAGATTTCACAAGAATTTCACGAGAGGTGGAACATCCCTCACTGCCTCGGTGCTATAGATGGCAAGTACGTGACCATAGAGTGCCCTGCGAACTCCGGGTCTGTGGACTTCAACTATAAGGGCTCATTCAGCAAGTTGCTGCTTGCTGTGTGTGATGCATAATACAGGTGATTCTGGGTTCTTGTATTGAAATGTGTACACTAGTAAGGTAGCATCAGCATTATGAGCCTAGGTGTTGAAAATTTCATTAATGCGCAAAGGAACAAGGGATATTCAAGAGGATGAGCGATGTGTATGATTTTCCTTTGCCATGTGGGCATGCGTGTACATAGAACTTTAGAAGGCTATACAGTAGTCCATCCTTGAGAGTGGCGGACTGCTGCGCAACTTGGTAACTCATTAGAGATAAATGCTGCACAAAACAATATAGGTGTCTAGTTATTTTATGCACCACTGACGTAACAATGAGTATTGTATGCGGATGCAGTTACAGTGCATGGTCAAACAATATTTTTCATAGAAAGACAATGGGTTTCAAGACATGCTCTGAGTATTGGTGGCTGGCCTTTGCTGAAAGTCTTATAGCTACAGTACTTTTACACCCAGGTTCATATACGTGGAATTGGGGCACTCTGGAAGTGAAAGTGAGGGTGGGATTTTCTCCTGCTGCAATCTCCAAAAAAATATTTTGCAAGAAGCACTGGGCTTGCCACCAGTGAGCACCATGGGCAACGAGGGTCCCCTTCCTTACTTCTTCGTCAGAGAAGAGGCCTTCCCGTTGAAGGAGTACGTGATGGGGCCATACGCAAGACGGAGTAAGTTAAAAATGTCTGAAAGAAAGGCTTCGTTTTTTTCAATTTATGTGCAAGAGCTTTGCAGAAGGTATGCTACAACGATCCCTGTTGTGATTTTGGACATCAGATAGGTGGCTCAAGATATTATTACCTGTTTGTGTTTACTATTTTGTATGTAACAGCACAAGCTTTCAGGACTAAAGCCATTGTATTGTAGCTGTTACGTGCCATCTTAATTTTACTAAGGAATTGTTGCACCGTGATGTGTCTGTAGAAATGTAGACTGTGCATGAATTTTAAGGAAAAATGTTGGCACACCTCTCTCGTGATTAAACACATGTTTAATGTTGTGGGAAAGAAGGTGCTTGCACTGGTACAATTACAACACATTACACCCGAGCAATATGTGGTCCGAATTACGCCTCAAACATGGGTGAATGCGGGACCTCGCTGCTTACATTTGCAAAAAAAAGAGGGGTACAAATTTTGTCGTTATATGACTTGACAAATGACCTGTGAGATTTGTTAAAAGCAATATGCAATAGAGAAGTGTTTGAGTAGGCAATCGTGCTTCAGAAGTATGCAAAAACGGTTCGATTGGGGCAATGCGAGAACAGCCACCAAAACTCGAAATGAGGAGCAAAACGAGGGCGTACTCTTTAAGCACACACTAACGACTAGTGCGCTTAATTCTGCTTCTTTGTGTGATTGTTTTGAATTTTGAGATTTTTTTCTTGCATAGATGTAGGTAATTAGAGTTATACAGTTTATCGGGGCCTTTGAAAGTCGCTTACAGAAACATCTGTGATGGCAAGTTAGCATCTTTGCTGGACCTTTGTGACAGTGCATGGCTCACTGCATGTTTCTCTTGTTATCACCAATGATAGCCTTATGTTATATAAGGCTTGTGGGCTTATTTTTGCTACAGTGTTCAGTGTTGACCTTTTCAGCACTGCATGAAGACAAGTCCTACGAGCGTCGCGTCTTCAATTATAGGATGTCCAGGGCACGCCACACTATTGAGAATACCTTTGGCATTCTGGCACAAAGGTGGAGGGTGCTGCGCCGACCCATTAAGGTGAAAGAAGTCAATATAAAGGCATACATCGGAGCATGCATAGTGCTACATAACATTCTCCTTAAGGAGTCCACAGCATCCTCCACTGCCTATTGCCCCCCTGGTGCCACAGACAGCGAGGATTGGGAAGGACATCTTTCACCTGAAAGCTGGAGGGACGAGGAAGCAGCCGGCGGAGTGCTCATACCATCAAGGCCTACCGGCTGCAATACTGCGCGGTATGCTTTCATTCAATTTATGACTGTTGAGGTGCCATGACACATATAGTGCGCAACCGACAAAGACTGAAGGATACAGAAGGGACACAGACGAGAGGCTCACATGCGTTTCGCATTAGTAATGGGCATTTAAACAGTGCTCGCACAGTAGGTTTTATGTTAAAGCATACGACAAACACACATTGTAAAAAAATGTTGCTCTGCAGCAACGTTTTTAGAATGCACTTTGTAAAAGAAAACATGTAAAGACATGAACACTATGTGTATGTCAAATCGTCTCTGTTGCTCAAGAGCTAGTCAAGTTTTACTACTTTTAATTATAAGCATCAGTTGGTGAAAGTTCTTTAGTACTACCACACATCAAAGCAAGAGAATGTGTAGAAGATGCTAGTAGTATTCACAATGACAATATGAAGAAAGAAGCGCAGTGAAAGGATACCTTGGTGCTGGTAAAATGAACCTCTGACCCTCGAATATAACGTGCTATGTTCTACCATGGTAGCTTCTACCAAATCTCCCCGGTAACTTTATGGGAGATTTGTGGGCACAAGTTTTGTCCCTAGAAGTGCCAATCTTTACGTCTATTAGGTTTCTTCCCATTTATATCATAATTACTACCAACAGCATCCTATATACTTTTATCGTTTTTTTTGTTTGTTCTAATTAGAACTGTGTCTACCTAACAGAAATGAGTCCTTGATTCTTCTACTTTCCTATTGTAGCTCAATATATGTTAACAAAGGAGCAATAAGAGAACATAGAGGTCAACCTTGTTCCAAATTGGCGGGCACAGCCATGTGCCGCGCAAGATGAGGTTTTAACAAAACAAAGCGATATTCCTGTTGAGTAACTTGCTGGTGCCTAATGAACGTATCCATCAATTATGGTGAATTTCGAGCTGACCGAGTTACATTTAATTAGGTTTAACTGTACAGGGCAATCGTTCTCTCAAAAGTGTACAATGGTTTTGTCCAAATGCGAGCAGTTGCTGACCTTGGCTGTCATAGAACTTGACATATTGAAATTTCTAAAGTTAGTCAGTAAATATGCATTCTATCAGAAGCTGTGATGATGCCGTAGAAAATAGACAGCAGAGGTAGCGCTCATTAATACATAAAAATGAGCAACACACATGGCACTTATGCGTTGCAGGTATGCCAAGAAAGCTCGAGATAAATTGGCGCACTACTTCGTCGCAGACGGCCAGGTTTCTTGGCCGGACAAAATGGTGAACAGCACTTGAGGCGTACAAGGTGAAGGCGTGTTGTAAATGCATTTTATTACTTACAGAACTTGTGTACATAGCATCCTCTTAAGCTAAACAAAGAAGAGAAAAATCACCGGTGACACAACAGATACATTACAGGGAAAACTATGTCATGTCCAAATATAACCATGAAAACACAAAAATAAATAATTCATGTTAGAGTTTTTGAGTTCATGCACAGTTATCACTACAATTATCACAGAAATAAGTTGCCTTAGAGGGGTCATGACACCCAATTTTCAACCATAATGTGTGTTGTACGGGCTGATTCTTGTATGTTCACAGACAAGCTGGCAAAATTTGAGCAATTTGGTCGAGCTGTTAATTTATAATCGAATATTTTTATAAACGAGCTAGTGGCCTGACAGTTGGGCAACACTGACGCACTCCCTAGCCGTTACATCACGAACCGCTTGCTCGGCAAGCTGCTGCACGGTGTGCATTCTGGCAAATGGTCGTGTTTCGTCATCAACTGCGCTTGCAATCAAATTTTTTTTGGCATTGTCGAACTCGCCACTAAAGCTAAATTTCCATGGCTTATTCTTGTCTAAAATAGTCTCTTAACGCCACTTTTCACACGTGTACTAGCACATTTGACTCTATAGTTTTGTTTTTGCTGATAACCGTGAATTGTTGGGTGACCAGTCATGACCTCTTTAAGTTGGGACTAGAGAAGCGAACACAAGATAAAAAAAGGTGGGTGTCATTGGCGGTATGTAAACACTTCAAGTTGCTTCACTGCTCTGACATAGTTTCACCTCTGCTTCATACAGCATAAGTTCTAGTGCATGCATTATATCTTGCGCAATGTGCACTGGTAGCTCTCCGAGGCGTGCATCGGTACATAGAGCGAAGAAACCAAAGTTATGTTTTTTGTTAATTCCCCTGTTCGCTCAGATGTGTTCAAGGTGCTCCATGCACGCTTGCGCCACAGCTTCATGGCTTGTGCCCTCTCCTGCATTGCTATAAAGCAAGTGTGATCTGTGATTCATGCATATGAATGCTTTAAGGTGGCATTGTTACTTCATAAAGCACTGTTTAGTAAAAGAAAAGTGTGAGAACGACAAGGTAGAAACAGAAGAAACAAGACAGCACTGACCTTCAACTGATGTTTGTGATTTTGGGCACTATGAAAAGAAAAAAAAATAGAGTAACTGAAGCAAATGAAATAGCACACTTAAAAGATAAATGTGCCAATAGGGCGTCTACCTCTCTTTGAGAAATAAATGGGCTTTTCATCTTTGAAACGGACACTCGTGTTTTTCGATAGGGTGCTGATGTTGTGATATTGACGTCTAATATTGCGGTAGTTGCATGGGTTCTGTCTGCCATAGTATAAATGTGCCCACAATAAAAAACATCAGTTTAAAGTCGGTGCTCTGTCCTGTTTTTTTCTGTTTCTACCTTGTCGTTCTCACACTGTTTTTTTACTATGTCTGTGTACCAACTTGACCAAGCATTAACCTTAACAAGTTTTGTTTTTTGTATCATGTGCAGGATTGTTAGAAAAACATCTGCAAGTTTATCCTGTAGCTCTTGCGGTATATCTCACCTAGCACCCTCGCAGGTCCTTTGTCATCTTGACGAGCGTGACCTACAGTGAATTATACATATTGCTTAAATGTACAGAAAGAGATTCTTTTCAAAAAGTTGTGATTGTAATCTCTCGTCAGGAGTACCTAAAATAATTGTTTCATTTACGCACAGTTTTGATGGTGGCTACTCTCTTGAGGTGGTTGCTGAAGCATCACTGCAGAAGAAGGAAGTATTACTATATAACTTATGAAGTGTTACAATTGCCTGCAGCAGAATCTGTTGTGAAAACATTAGACACATTCTCCAAATGTGCTAGAACACGAAGAAAGTTACAAAACGTGTTCTTATGTTGGCTATCTATGCATGCGCTTCATTCGTCATTACTTAGGCGGATTCATAAAGGTTTTACCGTATTTACTCGCATAATAGGCGCACTTTTTTTTCAGAAAATCCGGCTCGAAGTTAGGGGTGCGCCAATTACGCGGGGTAAAATTTTCGAAAATTTTTTCAACTCGGTTCTCGCGCTTTAAATCTGCACACTTGTCAAGTAAAAGGCGGCTTTATCGTTTACCAATTAATTCAGCATAAAACAAACATACCTACGTACCTTTTAATGAACAAGCGAGAGCCGTCCACTGCACACACACACGTAAAATTTATTTACACAAAAGTCGTAGCTGTTCCTTCTTTTCCCTATTCGGAGTCCGAGTCGGAGATCACACATTCATCCTCGCCGAGCGGGGATTCGTTTTCGGTGTTCGAATCATCCGCACCCCACAACATGTCATCCTCACTCGCATCCAGTGCTCGAGATACCCGTCTTCTTGAAGCTTTTCCTGACGACTTCGTCGGAGATCGCCTGCCACGCTTCCACGATCCAAGCGCACAGCATTTCCACAGGCGGCCTCTTAATCTTACCACCTGGAGTCAGCTGATGTTGTCCTCCAGCCATCCAGGTGGTGTACAGCCTTCGAACATTGTCCTTGAAAGGTTTATTCAAGGACACGTCTAAAGGCTGCAGTATCGATGTGAGGCCGCCCGGAATCACTGCCAGAGCTGTGCGCAGCTCCTTTAGCTCATCTCGTACGCGGTCTACTAGGTGCCCACGAAAACTGTCCAGGACAAGCATGGACGGCAACAACAGACCACTAGGCCGCCTACCCCAGACTGTTTTCACCCAATCCACCTTGAGTTCCGCGCTCATCCAGCCTTTTTCCTGGACTCTGACGTAGATGCCTTGAGGGAATTTCGCCTTTGGGAGCGTCTTACGTTTAAAAATAACGTAAGGCGGTAGCTTACGCCCATCCGCTGTCACCGCCAGCATTACGGTGCATCGTTGTTTATCACCGCCAGAGGTTCTGACAATGACGCTCCGTGCACCTTTCTCCTCCACTGTCGTGTTCCACGGCATATCAAAGCAAAGGGGGGTCTGATCAGCGTTGCCGATCTGGGACAAAATGAAGTCTTTCTGCTGTCGGAGCTTTATAACAAAACTGTGAAAGTCCACCACTTTGTCCTCATATGCTGCGGGCAAGCGCTGGCGCAAGGTGGTCCGCCTTGGCAGTGCGAGGCCATGGCGCCGCATGAAACGAGTTGTCCATCCGGAGCTGGCTTTGAACTCTTTTGCTTCGATGCCCAGCGCTTGGGCTATTCTGCGCGCCTCAGTCTGCACAATATCCAACGACACAGCACAGCCGTCTTGTCGTAGCTCCCGTATATGCCGGACCAGTTGCTCTTCGACGTTCGGATACCTGCCGGTCTTGGCACCGCGGAAAGCCCGTCGTGTCTTCTTCGTCGCCTTGAGTTTTTCTTCTTGGTCCCTCCAGTACCGAATACTGGTTTCTCCAACGCCGAAATGCCTGCTTGCAGCCCGGTTGCCGTGCTCCAGCGCGTACTGCACTGCCTTCAGTTTAAACCCAGCCGTGTAGCTCGCGTACTTCCCCATGGTGGAACCAAAGTTCAATACACGACCACAACATACGCACACCGCTTGCAAAATGGCATTTCTTTCTTTTTCTCTGATGGTGGTGATGGCGATCGAGCCCCCGGCGTTGTACACGTGACCTCCAAAAAGCGCGGCGATTTGGGGGGTATCAGTAATTGATGGAACAGCCTTTTTTTTTTCGCTCATGGACGCTTTTTTTTTTTCAAGTTTTATTTCGACAAACACGTTGGTTAGGTCGTTGCACTTCGAATTTTTTTTATTTGCTCGTCGATTTGCCTTCTTTTTTTCTTCAGGGTACGGGGACCGCATTCCAACTGTACCGCTGGGGGGCAGAATCGTTTCTGATCACGGCCAAGTTCGGGGTGCGCCTAATATGCACGGAATTAAAAAAA